GCTCGATTAAGAACTGAAGAAACAAAAATTATGTCTTTAGGGATAAAGCGTGTGTGTTTGTTTATTATACAAAAGAGTTTGTCTTTTGGTTTTGGTATGAACATCTTAAAAGTTGGAATCTTGATTCTTGTTTGAAGAACAAGAAATACTAAAACTTGTTGCTGGTAAAACGTTCATAAGTTAGTTTCATATATCAAACCTAGACATGGCTGATTCCAAGTTACGATATTCTAGTTTTCAACGTTTATTACATATCTTGATGATCTTCTTTCTAAAACCGATTTGATATTTGTATTGTAACTGCCGGAATGGAACGCATTTTTAGTATTCCCAATGCTTTTTCTAGGCTCTGTTTAGTAGTTGTGGCATTTTGATTGTTCTCTTTGCGGTATTTGACCACTTCTTTTTTTGTGAAAACGTAGACACTTTCTTGGGGTTTGAGGAGATAGAGGGAGAAGATGATTTCAGGGAGGAATATGCTTGCCCGTTCTGCTCAGACTATTTTGATATCGTGTCTCTCTGCTGCCACGTAGACGAAGATCATCCTATGGACGCAAAAAATGGGGTATATAATATCTCCTCAATATTATTCAGTAATCAACCTTTTTCGCATTTGATATCAGAATCTATTTATCGTTTCATCACATGATTCTTGGTAGATTGGTCAGAGCACTATTCTTTGTTTAGTAGTCGCTCATTTGTCGTAGTTTTGTGTTGGAATAGGCCACTCCGTTGCTTTAGAGAAAGAAATCAAAACTCTCCTTGTTAGTTATTGTAAGGAGAGTTTCTACAATAGGATGATTTGTTTTTCTTCTGCAACGAAGGCTGTTCCAACTTTTGTTTAAATCCTGGAGATTGAGTTTTTTTCCTTGTAGGTATGCCCCGTTTGTGCGGTGAAAGTGAGCTCTGATATGGTTGCTCACATAACCCTTCAGCATGCAAATATGTTCAAGATATCCTTTTTTTGTTCTGTCATTTACATTTATGATTTAACGATCATTTAATTTCTCCAAAAAAAAGTGTGTTTCATTCCTTAACAAAATATTACGGAACGCGGAAAAGAAAATCAAGAAGAGGCGGGGCTCAGTCCATGCTATCGATCTTGAAGAGAGAGTTTCCTGATGGCAATTTTCAGAGCCTATTTGATGGATCCTCGCGTGTTATATCTTCTTCTTCTTCATCCAATATAGCTGCTGACCCGTTGCTGTCTTCATTCATTTCACCAATGGCTGATGACTTTTTTATTTCCGAGTCAAGTCTATGTGCAGAAACAAGTTCTGCCAAAAAGACGTTGAATCAGGGTTTGCCTGAACGGTATGCTTCCTCATTCACAGTTTGATTACAGAGCATTGCCTAGCCCTTTTCTCACCATTCTTGTTAGTTGAAAACTAACGTTTCTTGGTACTCAGTCATCGCATATTGTGCTTGTCCTTTGGATCTAACGTTTTTGTCAATCTGAGTTTTTATGAGCCTTCATGAAACTTAGTTGATCCAGTGTGACGTAAAACCTAAAACTCTTGTGATCTGAAGTTTTTGTTTGTGGAAAATACACATTGTGTAGACTTGCACTGACGATTCTTGTCTTGTCTTGATCCAGGTTTTCCAGGAATGTTGAAAAGCAGTCTCTTTCAGCAGAGGATCACCGAGAAAAGTTGAAACAGAGCGAGTTTGTTCAAGGGATTTTGAGCTCTACGATTCTTAATGACGGGTTATAAAAGAGAATATTCCGGTAACTTCTCTACAGTTAGATCACTCAGCGATTGGAGAATTGTCACGGATTTGTCATTTTATAGCAACAAGTGATCTGGGGAAGAGTTGGGGATGGATAAGCAGAATAAAGAGCTTCGTAATGAAGAGTGAAGAGAGAGAGACATGATTATGAGTATTATTATTAACTTATGAGAACACATATTTGGTCTAATGAACACCCGATTTGTCTGTAGACTGTGTTATAGGTCGTACGTATAGGTCGTACGTAATAAACAACAAAAGAAATGAATGTATTTGATCAAACATTTGCACTGATTTCTGTCTTGAGACTTTTTCAGTATGGCTTCTCTTTACTCGAGGTTTGATTTACTTACCAGTTTATTCTGCAAGGGAATTGACATAACCTTACAATTTGGAAAACAAATATAATAATCAAATAAAAATAAATATTTAGACTAAGAATATTGTAGGGCTTTACCCCGAAGGGAGCCCTTCCAGAAATTCTCAAGAGCCTGAGTCAAGCCCAGGCCCAAGAGGGGGTTTGGAAATAGTTTTCAACCAGCAATAGACGCGCCTCGGTTAGTACCTCATTAGCTGCGTCATTGCCCCAAGCGCAATGATGAGTATTAACCATCGAAGGCCTCCTTATTTTATAGTCAAATCAAGCCTATCAACTTTACAAAACTTCCGATGTGGGACTATCACAAACCTAATTTCGCTCACACACACACCTTGCCGTTTGAAGTTTTTGATATCGAACAACGTGCTGCTCTAACAAACACGAATGGCAGGATGTGTTGTGTTATATACCGGACGTCTGAGGCCCAGTTTGGGTTTGTGAGCTGTTGTGTCTTTTTGGGATGTTTTATATGGCTTTAAATTTGTGAACTCATCAGTCTTTTGCTAATTTCCCTATTATTTGATCACTAGATTTAGACTCCATGGCAAGCACGCACTCGATTAAATGATTAAATATTTTGACTAATAAATTTTAGTATTTAAATGCGTATAGTAAATCATATGATTTATAATATTTATAAACGTATAAAAATGATATGTATTGTGCATAAATATAATAAAGTTAAATTTTGATCAAACATATTTTGATGCTATTAGTTTTAATAGTTTTATGTATAAAATTAATTAAAATATATGCAAATGTTATATATTTTAAGTGTAAAATTGATTTTCGTTGCCACAAAAAAAAAGATTGGTAAGTCTAATATTACTTTAGTTAGACTTAGATTTGTCATTTTTAAAACATATATTTATGAGCTTATGATATAAAATTAATAAAAATATTTAGAGATTTTCACCATATCATATAATTTTAATTAAAATATTTTGATTGGTTAATTATAATTATTTGTCCTTTAAATCGCTTTTTGAACGACACATAAGATTTTTGAATTAGTGTCTCTTCAATTAATACTACAGGATGTCCCGGGCTATACCCGGGTTTTGTGTTATATAATTCACATTATATTTGATTTGTTAAAACCTTTATATTTAATAATCTCAAATTAGAGATTTTTTGTGTAATGTTTTTTTATAATATTGCTTCAACAATGTTTCTCTCATTCCATAATTCCCTTTTGAAACATTTAGTTCCGTCCGGATAACTTTGATGAATGTCACATACATATCTATATAGATAATGTGATCGAATAGATATTAAGCTACGTTCAATAGGTTCTGATTTATGTAACAATTATTGTAAAAACGTTTTTGTTTGAATATTAATTTTACATTCATTCC